CAGGGCACCCCAGGCTCCTGCCCAGGGCAGTGTAAGCACTGGGTTCTCAGAGGTTCAGCCAAGACCCGCAACTAAGAAGGGCTCATTGGTAGCTGGTCCATTGCTCTCCATCTTGCACCTTGTCCCCTTAAGACAAGCTTCTAAGATGCGTGATGCTTCCAACCTCAGGTGGGGTGATGGAAGTCATGTCCTAGCCGATTTTCCTTTCCAAGTGCTATTTGGGGGCAACTTTTAATGAGCTCTAAAGGAAGGTCAGGCCCTCCTGCTTTAACTGGGAGCAATTTACTGAGACCCAGAAGAGATACACCAGCAATCAAGGTTCTCATGAGCAAATGATTAGACTTGGAGGTCTATTTCCTTCTACCCCAAATGGTATCTTTTAACGGCTCAAGGGGAATGAAATGAAACAAGGTCCTGAGATTCTATGGAGGGCTTATGGCTGCCCCAGTGCCATGGGCCTCCTCCAAGGCCTGCCCTTGGCCTGCTGCTTGGGATTCTGTAGAGTTTCGTAGTTTCCAGAGCTGGTAGAATTAAGCTATAGGAGTACCTGAAATCTTCACTTACTCTCCTCCTGATTCCAGTATCCCCAGCACCAGCTAAGCTGCCCTGCTTTTCCTTCCTTCAGATGAGATGCTCTCAGGAAATAGCAAGGATTTTCCAAAGCAATATAAAATACTTGTTCAAACCATTTCATAGAAGAACAGGACAAAAGGCTAAGGTATGGAGGGCTGGCTCAACTGTCTTTTGGTCATCTGGTTATAGAAAGAGACCTTTGTACTTCTTACATATTTTAGAAGGAGTAAACAGCATTACATGGTCTATGGTAAAGAAAACCAGTCCCGTATGAAGCCCATCTTGACAGCCTCACTCCCTCGGGTGGCTGTTCAGAAGGTCCTTGCCTGGCCAGCTTTTTACATGATGTCTTACATGACCTCCCACCCCCAGTTATTTATTTTTTTTTAAGGATTTTATTTATTTATTTGACAGATAGAGATCACAAGTGGGCGGAGAGGCAGGCAGAGAGAGAGGGGGAAGCAGGCTCCCTGCTGAGCAGAGCCTGATGCCCGAATCAGTCCCAGGACCCTGAGATCATGACCTGAGCCAAAGCAGAGGGTTAACCCATTGAGCCCCCAGGTGCCCCCTGCCCCCAATTATTTATTTTTGTTGTTGTTGTTGTTGAAATCAAGTATTTAATGCTGTCAGGATCAATAATTTGGAATATGGTAAGCTTTCTGGGGCACATTTCCCATTCATAGATCCACAGTTGGTAGAGCTGGAAGGAACCTCACAGATCAGCCGGTTCCACAGTTCTCAAACTTGAGCATGCATCAACATCACCTGAAGGCCTCCTTACAACACAGATTGCTGGTCTGTCTCCAGGAATTTCTGATTCAGTAGGTCTGAAGGGGCACTGATAATCTGCATTTCTAATTTCTGAAGTGATGCTGATGCTTCATCACTTTTGAGAACTACTGATTTAGTCTAACTAACCAGAAAGTTTAAGTAACTTGTTCCTACCATCCTACATAATTGATCTAAATATATATTGATTTTAACAATTGCCATTCATTTTTTTTTTTTTTAAGATTTTACTTTTTTATTTGAGAGATAGAGAGCACAAGCCGGGGGAGCAGCAGAGGGAGAGGAAAAAGCAGACTACCTGTTGAGCAGGGAGCTCCATGCAGGGCTGGATCCCAAGACCCTGACATCATGACCTGAGCCAAAGGCAGAGGTTTAACGGACTGAGCCATCCAGGTGCCCACTGCCATTCATTTTTATACTATAGTTCTTTTTTTTTTTTTTTAAGATTTTATTTATTTATTTGACAGGGAGATAGAGCACAAGTAGGCAGAGTGGCAGGCAGAGGAGAGGGAGAAGCAGGCTCTCCACTGAGCAGAGAGTCCGATGCGGGGCTCAATCCCAGGACCCTGGGATCATGACCTGAGCCGAAGGCAGCCACTTAAACGACTGAGCCACCCAGGTGCCCCTATACTGTAGTTCTTCTTTTTTTTTTTTTTTTTTTATTTTATTTATTTATTTGACAGAGAGATCACAAGCAGGCAGAGAGGCAGGCAGAGAGAGAGGAGGAAGCAGGCTCCCCGAGAGAGCAGAGAGCCCGATGCGGGGCTCGATCCCAGGACTCTGAGATCATGACCTGAGCCGAAGGCAGCGGCTTAACCCACTGAGCCACCCAGGCGCCCCCCTATACTGTAGTTCTTAAGGTAGGTTTAAATTAAATAAATTCCAAGGTCTTTTACAATTTCTTTAAGGAACTAAGATATAAACAAGATTTCAGTACCTTGTGATTATAGGTCAAACTTAAAGCCGCTTAGACAAAATACCACATAAAGGGCTAATTATTTACTGTAAGAAGTTGTTGTAGTGAGGTCAGTTCTCTATTTAAATTCCCTTTACAGTCTGCATTGTTTAAATTTAGTTTTATTATCCGTGAACAGATCCTTTCTTATAATAGCAGCTAATATTTTTGGAGTAATGTGTGCCAGGTATTGTGTTATACTCTTTATGTCCGTCCCCAGTTATTAAGACGAGAATGACTCACCAAATTCTAAAGGAGTCAAGCATCTTGCTCTCCTTGGTCAATTCTCTATTTTATTTGGCCATTTCAACAGCATCTACACTGCATAGTTTACAGATTTTGAGACATTAGCATTAATGTTCTAGATGAGGACTTTTGCCACATAATGTTCCCTTTTGTTAACAACCCAGAGCAAGACTTTTTTCATGGCTCACATTTCACCCAGAACCACACACAAAAATTTACAAATTATTATATACTAACTTTTTATTTAATGTTTCCGGTCTGTGTTGGAAGGCCCAACCTAGAATCAGGGCCATCTTTTTCAACGAAACCAATTTGAAATTTTTTAAAATTTGTGCTTAATTTGTTAACATGTGTTTTAAAATTTATTAATAAACTTGGGAGACTAGAGAGGCAAAAGGAAAACCAGGGAAACCTTTTTTTTGGCGTAGGAGATCTGGCTCAGTTTAGACCAAAGAGTTAACTACCTATATGAGGGAATCATCATAAATATTGATTACTTACCACTTGGTCTCCAGCCAAACCATCTAATAAGCCCAGGGTAGCTTGGCTGATAAGGAAGGTTCTAGTAATTCATTTTTATATTATGATAAGCTTTGGCCAATTTACCTTTCGGGATCATACTGGACTCAAAGTGTTTATTATGGACAGTTGATTTCCATAAGCTGAAACCTATTTCTTGATGCTCTCCTTGGTGCTCTGGGTGGGTAGGACCATTGAAGGCATCATTGTCAATAAATGTTCTTGATGTCCTCTCCCAAGACTTTGTACCGACCCCATCTTACCTTTAAGACTCTTTCGCATGTTGGTTAGCCCTTTGCCTTGACCCTTCCTTTGCATTTTGTGACAAGTAGTTCTACCTCTGACCAGCTCCTTTCTGTCTTCATGGGTTCCAATCTTTCCACCAACCCCTTTACTAGCTCTCTTCCCTGGAGTTAGCTCCTTGATTATTTTCTTACACTATGAATTATTTTCTACAAACCTGCAAGTTTCCTCCACTATCTTTACCCTGATCACTCTCCCTTCTATAGCTCCATGGAGAGTGGGTGGCATTTTGGGGTACTCCAAACCGTTGGGTCCAAAGTGGAACCACTTCCCCCCCAGCCCCATCCTGAAGCCCCATGCTGCCTCTCCTTATGAATTCCCCCATGACCCATCTAGTCCTGGTGTAAGAAGCCTCAGAGCCACTGTTGTCTTCACAAGCCCCTCCTTGCTTCATTTTGTCCCCTGGTCTCCTAACCACTGCTGGAATCCACATGTCCTTCTATGTCTCCTCCAACCTCAGTTCCAGCACCATCTCCTCCAAGAAGCCTTAGGGTTTAAAGAAAGTTTTCTTCATCTGTGTGACCCCAATTACATGCACCTGGCAAGTCCTCATTAATGCTTTATCCGTGAATGGCCACATCCCACATAAAGCTGGATCTTTCCAAATTGACAAATTAGCAAGCGGGTGTGTCCTCAGCATCAAACTTGCTAAACTGGACTCCTTCTGCTTCTACAAAGAAGGTATCTCTAAACGATGGAGATGGTGACCTTATTCTCTGTGGCTAGCTAGATTTAATTTTTATTTGTCCATTTTGCAGAAGTCTGGGAAAAGGGAATTTCCTCCCATCACTTGCATTTTCTTTCCTATTTCCCGTTGTCGACTGCTTGTTTACTGGCATCGTTGTAATCCTCATAAAAAATTCCATCCAAGTTTATTTCCTTAAAGCTATGATATAACTTACATATTTTTCCATGTCGCTAAACATCAAATACAATTTTTTCGTGCAAGATACATCCTAATTAGCCAAATGTTTCACTTTCATAAGCACTGCGTTGTTCACTTCTCATATGTAATTCTCCATAGGGTTCATTCTTTAGTTGTTTTGATTGAGTTGGGGGCTCTTTGAGAACCAAAAGACTTTTGGAATGCAGCCTGCAGGAACATTTTCACATTCTCCAGCTGCATCCTCAGGTGGTGGGAGGTGTGCAGGCTTTCCCCTGGCCCATGGGCCACCATGAGTAAGTTGGATTCAGCCATATGGCAGGAAGGTGACTTTTTATGTCACTGTCACTGGCTCAGGCCAAATTTGCCCCCTGGCTCTTTCCTTTCTGGGAGCCTCTTAAATGATCTGCCACCTTTTCTCCTGCTGAGGGCTCTGGCACAGGGTGCTTGGGACACCGGGACCGTGGTCATGGGCAGGGACAGGAGGCCGTGGGTCAGCTGTACGGTTGGACAGAGCTGCGTAGAATCTGTATGTGGTTCGGGACTGGTCATCTGAGAGTGTTAGGTCTGTGTGTGTGTGTGTGTGTGTGTGTGTGTGTGTGTGCGTGTGTGTGTGTGCACGCATGTGGTTTTCTGACTTTAGATCTCCTTACACACTTGCACGATTGGTCTGCGGATTTTGTGTGATTAGCCAAATATGTGTATTTGAATGTGAGTGTGTGTAAGGGGGAGTTAATGTGTGTGTGTGTCCTTGGGGGCATGTGGAGGGGGTTGGTCCTTATGTCTCTGCACATGTATCTTTGGATGAGTTTGTGGTGTGTGTGTGTTTGTGTGTGTGTTTCTAGGTTAGGGCGTGTCTCTGCGTCTGCGCGTGTGTGTGGGGGAGGTGCATACCCACATGCTTGTGTGTCTATGACTGTGTGTGTGTGTTTCAGGATCGGTGTGTGTAATTCTGGCTGTGAGTCATGAAGATCTGAGGAAAGACCACAACACCCAGCCCAATGATTCTGGACTTGGGGACTGAACTAATTGGGCAAAACCCCCTTTGATGGCTAAGTGATGTGCTCCCCATTTGTGGCCCGCTAGGAGTCCGTTAAGAAGGACCGACTTCCCGACAGAGAAAATAATGAACAGACATCTGGGGTGCCATCATCCCTCAGTGCCTGGGCCTCTCATCCCCACAGGAGCCTGGGCCGGGGCTGGGGCTGGCTGCTGGGCCTGGGACCACACCCTCTAGTCTCCACAGCCCCGCTCCGTGTAACCTGAAGCTGCTTCTCTGGTAGGTTCCAGACATTTCCTCAGGCTGACAGCCAAGGGATGCCCCAAGTGACATACAACCCCTTTGTCTTGCTGTGGCTCCGGGAGCTTTTTCTTGGAAACGTGGTTCCCTGTGGTGTTGAAAACAGGGTGCCTGCCAGCCATCTGTGAGGACGAGAGGAAAAGTACCTGTTCCCCCCTCCCACACACACACCTGGTTCTCAGATCCAGGAATCTCCTCAAGGAAGGCTCCTGCGTGTGCTCATTCGTCCAGGTGGGACGCTCATGCATCCCGGAAGCCAGAGTATCAGGGTGGCCTGGACACAGGCAGCTAGAAACAGGGACCCTGTAGGGAGAGAAACCCGCAGACTGGAGACAGGACCAGTCCCCAAAGCTTCCTCACCGACCCATGGTGACCATTAGGGCCATATTTGTCAGGGACTGTCCTGGAGGTCCCCACAGCCCCAGGCACCCAGGATACCTGGTCACCCTCACCCCACCCCAGGTAGCACTGGGGTCTCCTGAGGGGAAGCTGCCTCTTGCCCAGGAAGTGTCCTCACTGAGTGAACTGGGTGGGGCCCCAGGATTGGGGCAAGACTGGGGACTTTACTCACCACGCTCAGACTGGCCGAGCCTGGGTTTTCCTTCTGCGTCTGGCCTGTGTCCACCTTCCCTGCCACCAAGAACGTGGGGCTGAGGCTTTCTGTGGAAGATTCAGGCTGTGAATAGCTGTTGGTCACCTCAGTTTGGTCTCCCACAGTTTGGTCACCCACACCTACCTCCCCAAAGTCCTGGGGCAGAAAAAGCTGGTGGAGCTGGGGGTGGGAGGGTGGTGGTGGGTGGTGGGAGTTGCTGAGAGAGTGGGGACCAACATCGAATTTGAGATCGTTGCCCGGCTTTTGGTGAGAGAAGAGCAGAGAGGTCCTGGGCCTTTTGAAAACTGAGGTTTTGTGATTCTAGAGCCAGGCTGGGTTAGAAGCTTCTGAGTTCTGTCACCAGAGGAGGAAAGCAATGAGCCTTCATTCAATGAGGTTCAGAGAAGAAACAGTCAGGGTGGTGAAGGTCCCCCCTAACGGGTGGCCCAAATGCTGAGGCCAGTGCCCCCCTGAGGGCAGATGAGCTGTTGACTCTGAAGGGGAGTTTTCGAGGTGGACGGGGAAAGTGATGAGCAGGGGAGGTGCATGGGAGCAGGACAGGCTGACCAGAGCCCCTCTAGGGCTAGGATGCTGTAGGGTGGCTACAGGTGTGACCTCAGAAACCAAAGTCAGGGACTTCTGAGGCCAAACCTGGGTAAGGAAGACCTGATACCTGATAAGGAAGACCCCGAAGTTCCCAGACATCCCTTCTTCCTCCCACCCTGCAAGCCTCCAGGCCCCAGCCCCTTTTAGCAGGGCTTCACCCCTCCTCCCGGTGCCACAGCCTCCCTCTGCCAAAGGGAGCCCAGGTCGCTGTCGCCTGGGGAGACTGGCTTTGGGGAATGGGGTAAGTACCAGGCACCGGGGGCTGTTGCTCCTTCAAGGGGGGGATTGCACTTGGCCCCGGGGAGGGGCACAGTCCTGCAGGGAAAGGTATCCTGAGTCCACTGAGCCCAGCCACCCCCTCCCAGTGGGAACTCTGAGGGCCTGTATGTGCCCAGTATGGACACAGAGCAGTTTGTCACATTTTCTTGGTCTGTGGACCGATCCCGAGGAGGAGCACTGACTGGGTGACCCTGGTCGGACCCCCATGTGGGTGAGAACTCACTGGGGAGTTCATTTAGAAGAGGTGTAGGTCCAGCTACTTTGATGAATACTTAAAACTTTCCCTTCCATAATGGCTTTCTCTTCATACAACGTCACATTCCGCATGAAACAGAACTTAATGTCCTTCTACAGAAGTCTCTGCGGTTTTTAAAATGATTTAATGTAAATGAAAACTTCTGGTCACCTTAGAGCAGGTACCCAGCCAAGTCATGAATAATTTTCTACCCTCAAAATCAACAAGTAGGGGATGAATTTCTGTTCCTGGGACATCTGCTAACATTTTCTGGGGGCTGCAGGCACCCCCCATCAGCAGCAGTGACAACTGGAGGGAGGGAGGACATTCTCCTGAGGAGACAGGTGGGATGGGTAGCAGGTGTGGCTGAGTTCCCTGGACAGCCTTGTGCCAGGAAAGGGATCCTGGATCTCCACGATCACCATTTTTAAAAAAGATTTTATTTATTTATTTGACAGACAGAAATCACAAGCAGGCAGAGAGGCAGGCAGAGAGAGGGGGAAGCAGGCTCCCCGCTGAGCAGAGAGCCCGATGCGGGACTCCATCCCAGGACCCTGGGATCATGATCTGAGCTGAAGGCAGAGGCTTTAACCCATCGAGCCACCCAGGTGCCCCGATTTTCTTCTATTTTTTTAAAAAAGATTTTATTTATTTATTTGACACAGAGAGAGAGAGAGAGAGAGAGAGATCACAAGTAGGTGAAGAGGCAGGCAGAGGGTGGAGGGGGGTGAAACAGGCTCCCTGCTGAGCAGAGAGCTGGATGCAGGGCTCGATCCCGGACCCTGAGATCATGACCTGAGCCCAAGGCAGAGGCTTAACCCACTGAATCACCCAGGCGCCCCTCCACGATCACCATTTTGAGTGTGCGACCCTTTCCAACTCCAGCTCTACTCTGACCTCCTGCGGCCCTTTGTAGGCTCATGACTCGACCGTGCTGCACCTCAGTTTCCCTGTTTGTAGATGAGGCTAATGATAGTCTATACCTCATAGTCGGTTTGGAGAATGAACTGATTTTATTTGTCAAGAGCGTTGCCTGCTGACTGATCCTTAGGACTCTTGGTATGAATGGTGGAAGGTGCTGTTGCTGTCATTAATGAAGTCTCCTTGTGGGGGTTGGGATGATGGCGGTGGTTCTGAACCTGGCTGGACAGGAAGGGCCGGTATTCAATGACAATGAGTCAGCAGAGGTGGGGGACTCCGAGTCTGGGGGCAGGAGCCCCCCCCACTAAGGGCTTTTGCATTAGAATGGGAATGTTGCCTTCACCCCTAGAGAGGAGTTGGTGGGGTGCCTGGGACCCCACCCCCAGCTCTGACCTGCCAGGCGTTTGGTATTGGAGAGGACTTTTTTTTTTCAATCCTCCAACCTAGGATTAAAAGAAAAAATCAATTCAAAGATTTCCAGGAACAAAATGAATACCGTACTTTAACTGTGGCAGAAGGAAAATACACACATTATTAGAGTGCCCAAGACAGTTCGTGGGAACCAAAGGACGTACTCTTACACCCAAATGGACAATTTCCATGCAGTAAAACAAGTATAAATATGTGTGCACAAGGGGTAGGGGTGGGAAGGTGGCGTGGGGAGAAAACGCTCATGAATAATATGGTAACATTTAATAACGGAAGTGGGAAGGCGATTATTAACCCCACGATAGACACGTGAGCTAGAGCTTTGTACTTTATGCAAAAGAAAACATGAAGAACAAAATATTTCAGAAGCATCCACCCTTCCCAACCCCCAACACGTCCCTAGGAAATATACTAGTGGCCTCTGACAGGTGCCATGGAGCCCAGGGCCCAGGCAGGGGGCCTGAGTTGCCAGGTGAGCAGAAGAACGTCCTGGGAGATCCTTTGATGCCCCTCGCAAGGCATCGGTGAGCCCAGACCAGGGAAGCCCTTGTGTTAACCTGGGGGGGGGTCTCTGCTTAGAGTTCTGAGATGTTGGGCTGCTCCCTGGTAGTGGGACGTCTTTCTGATATAAATAACAAAACCTCTCCTCTCGAGTTCAGGAGTTCAGCGGAGAGGAAGCTTTGCATGTCTGTCTTTTCCAGAACCCCGGGGTCTTTATAATCCCATCAGGCCCTACCTGGCTACAGGCAGGACGTTGTGGGGAGCTGGAAGCTCAGAAAACCATTTACTGAAGCAGTGGTAGCAGGAACGGAAGGAAAGCCCACACCCAGCTCTGAGAGTCCAGAACTTTATACCTTAACCTCACAGCTACATTTCCAGTGAGAGCCGGAGGGGGCGTGTGGGAGGGGAAAGGGGCCAGTTCTAAAGGGTTGCAGTCCCCCTCCCCGCCCCCCACCTCCTACCATGTGTTTTACCCCGCCTTGCCTTGACATTGATGCTGTCAACTGCCCCGTGCCCATGTTCAAGGAGGCTGAACATTTTGGATCTCTATGGATGGCTGTTAGGGTCCATCTGTGTTTTGGAGCAACTAGGGGGGAAACACGGGGATGGGGGGGTGGGGAAGAGCATCGGGGACTTGGTTCAGACCCCAGGAAGCGCCTCATTTCTGCTCCAGTGGGGTCATGCAGGCTGAATGCATAGGGAGGGCTTGGGGACAGAAGATGGCAGAGCCTGGAGGTTTGGATCAGAGGGTGGGAGGGGCTGGACCCATCTTGCTCTCCCTGCCTTTTGGTCCTCAGTCTCTCTGTTGAGACCTCCTCTTATATCTGGGACTCCACCCTCGGCAATGAGGAAGGTCCTGTTCTTTATGTTGCTCTTTTTCCTAAGACCCTTGAGGCTGACATAATGTCACTGGGAGCTGGGGGACTTGGGGTCATCAAGTACCGGACACTTGGCCAGTGCCTTCACCTGCCCTTGTCATGCCAGCTCCTGAAAAGAGTTTTTGAGAGAAGTGCTACCATCTTGATCACCACTGTCTGGTACACACTGGTGACCGATAGACATTTGTGGACTGAAGGAATGTATGGCTGCCATTCACGGAAGTTAGGCAATGAGCCAAGTTTACAAAGCAGCTAATGATGGCATGGCTCTCACTGGAATCAGACTGCCTCAGATGATGGCTACCCTTCTCTCACACACCCTCTTTTAATCCTGATTCCTTCCTGTTTCTGCTGTTGTCCACCCCCCAACCTGCTCTGGCCCTGCCACGTGAGGGAGTCTGTCTTGTGTCCATTCCCTGAACTGCCCATCCCACTGTAGCTGGTCCTGATTTGGATGGGTGTGAGAAGAAAGGCATCATACCATTCCAGAACTTTCTCTGTGATGGGATGGCTTCCGGTCCATTGCACTTGTTCCCTAGGTCCTCTGAGCACCCGCTGCCCTTCTCCGGTCTAGCCAGCCCTCCAGCCTCAGCTCCTGCCAATCTCCTCCATCCCCAGGATTCAGCTGCACAGAGCCTCCTGGCCCTCACCCAGAGCATCACAGTTCTCCTTCCTCCTGTCTGCATATAGGCTGTTCTCTGTGCTTCTAGCATCTTCTGTCTGCACTTCATCCCTTGTCTCTGGTCCCTGAGCAACTCTCCTGTGGTGGGATTGGGGGGCATCCCAGCTCTGATGCCCTGTGATGCACCCAGTGGGCAAGCCCAGAGGCGATGGCCCATGTGTAGAGGGAGAACTTTAATCACTAAGGGAACAAATTCAAGCAGCGCATCAGGAGAGGGTGTGGCGAGTCCCCAGGTGCCGGGGAGCCGCTCTTTGGCAAACCCAGTCAAAGTGGCTTGTTCCTCGCCCTACATGAAGTGGCTCGTGAAGCTCAGATACTGCCCAGGACACTGGTCAGGTTGGAGGTATGAGCCCCCTACTCTGGGCTTCCCAACTGGTGGGCAGGTGGAACCCCCTCCCCCGCTTCCCCTAGGCTCCCAGAGCCTTGGGTTTGTTCTGGAAGATGAGAGGGTGGGCAAGACCAGGGATGCTGGTTCTGGGAGGCATAAGGAACCTCTGAGAAAAAGAATTTTCCTATTTGTGACTTCCCAGGGACAGGGCGGGGGCAGGGCATGGAGAGGGGTTGGCTGGATAGGCCGGATCGGTGGGTGAGGCCTTGGGCGAGTCCTTGCCTTGCCTACTGCTTAGGAGAGTTTCTCAGGCTCACAGTCTCCTGCCGGGGGTCCACCGTTATGCCTTTGATGAGGGTCATTAGCAAAGCTCTTCAAGAGGGGAGGGTGAGAGATGACTCGGACCCACGTAGGACTCAATCTTTTGTGTTAAAAGAGGGAGAAAATTGGAACACACATGTGCATATGTTGGTATGACGGTTGGGAAGAAGCTGTCATCAGTGGTACCCTGAGGGGGGTGGACACTGGACTGGGGGGTGGGCAGTGGTGGGGGGCAGAGACATCTTACTGTCTGTGTTTACCAATGTATTTGAACCAGGCGCATGTACTCAAAATTTTAGGTAAAAAGCAACAGCAATACAACAGAAATATTCGTGAAAAGAGAAGATAGCTAGAATGGGAGATGGCCGAGGCTCCCTTTGGGGAGGGGCAGAGTGGGGAATCCATCTCTGGGGGCCCCTTAGTGGGGGACCCCTCCCAGGCCAGCTGGGGGCCCAGGGCAGGGAGTGAATTTGGTTCTGCCCGTAGCACGAGCATGGGCACGACCAGAGCTATAGCGACAACTTAAAAGGGGGTCACAATCAGTTCTGTCAACCCCTTTGCCCCACGACAGGGAGCCCATACTCTGGGGGGCCAGGTGACCTCCCCACAGTCACACAGGGTTGCTATTTCTGCAGAGATGACCATATGCTTGGATGAATGACCCAGACCGACTTTGGGGAGTTTCGATTCCTGTAGACACCCGAAAGTCACTGCATGCCTGTGCTTTAGTCTCTAATGGGATCTCCTGCTCCCTGTGCCCCTCTGTGTGTGGGCAGCAGTCCCACATCCTAACCCCCCAGAAGGGCTGGGAGTCAGGATAGTGTTTTCTCGACATTGGCTGTCCCTTGGTGATGCCCGGCTTTTCCACAAGCTTCTCAACACCCCTGCATGCACCTGCTGCGCTCCTTGTACCCCCACGAGCCCCACCTGCTTTTTGGAAGCTGAGTGAGCAAGAGAGGTCCCAGCAGGGAGATTTTCTTCCTGGAAAGAGGCTCCCCTTGCCCCATTCTGGTTCTACTCAGTGGGGAGGGGCCCCCTCCACAAGGCCCCTCTCCAGACCAGACCGGAGAGCCACTTGAAAAGCATCTTGGTCCCACCCCCCTCATTTTACTGATGAGGAAGCCAAGCCCCAGAGAGGGAAGTGTCTCTCTCCGGAGCAGGCTGGTCACCAAGCTGGGAGGACAAATGTCGTCTTGCAGCTCACTCAGCTGCACTGGACCCCCAGCAGGTAACTGCGCCACCCTCCCGCCTCGGGGCCACTTACTAAAACCCAGGCACAGAGCCACGGACTGACCTGGCTTTCCCGGACAGCAGGTAACTTTCCTGAGGCCAGCGGTGCCTCCGTGGTCTGGGTTCTGTCCAGACCTGCGCAGACCCAGCATCCCCGATGGCCGGAGGGCCAGCAGCCCAGCAGCCCCCACAGAGTCTCTGTGAAAATAGCAACGTCAAGCAGAGGACTCCTGATATTAGTGACATTTCCTACCAACCCTCAATTTCCTCCTGATTTGACTCAAGGTTGCAGCTTCTTGCTGGGGTGGAGACATCTCACGGTACGTAGCCCAGGAGCTTTCCCCAGGGGAGCTCGGCTTGCGTGCCATCACCTCCTGCTGGCCTGGCTGCCTGCTCTCCCGGAACCCGGCCTGGAAAGCACCCACAGCCCAAGATGACACACTCGAAGGAATCACCTGATAGCCCCAAGCAACGGGCTCCAGGCAGGCCACAGCTGGGCTTGGGATCCCCGGCCAGCCCCTTACCAGTTGTGTAAACTTCCCTGGCCTCGATGTACCTCTCTGGAGAATGGGAGTAATGATGGTTTTTTTTCCCCCCTCATGGGGCTCTTGAGAGCAGTGAGTGATGGAAGTGCTCGATCGTGCAGGAAGCAAGAGGGCGGCTTTGACTGCTCTGATGTGTTATGACTGGATTATTTCCTATGGGTACCCCTATGGTACCCTGAAGGACAGCCCCATTGGGCCATGGTGATGCAGGTAGATCAGAGAAGTGGGCATTTGAAGAAAAGAATGAGGTTCTTAGGAGGGAAGGGGAGAGTCTGCAGAGAAAGAAGAGATGTTAAGTGGAACTGGACATGCCAGAAAGTAAGGAAGAGGGAACTGGGGGGCTCCTGGTTATATTGGATGTTCGGGCTGGTGATGCTGATGGGGAGCTGAGGTGTTGGTGGGGAAGATAAAGGAGAGACTCAGTGAGCACCAGTGAGACCCCTCACCACCTGTTTGCTCTTGGGTAGACTCTAGCTTCTCTGAGCCTCACTGCCCTCATCTGTAAAATGGGCATGATTATAACAACATTCCAGGAAGGTGCCAAGTTCCCATTGCAGAGCACTTAGCACAGGGACAGCCACATCTCAAGTCCCTGAACTGAACCCCTCCGCTCCCCCAACCCCACTCCAACCTACGAGGCTCAGGGTACAGCTCCAGCAAAATCTTGGAGTCTGGGAGATTCTGTGTGGTCTGTCCCCTCTGTGTCCTGTTCCTTTTCGCATCGTGTCTCCCAGAAGCCTAGCTCAGGTGTAGATAGATGGCTTTATTTACACTATGGTGTTAGTGGCAGATAACCACATCCAAATAAATATATATATTCTAACCGTGGACTTCAGTGCCTCACCCCCAGAGGAGATGGGAACTGCCGGCGAGGAACCCGGATGACACTGGTCCAGGGGAGTGCTCCTCCTCAAACTACAACCCTTGGGCTGTATACCAGCTCTGCTCAGTCATGGCTGGACCTCCCTTCTCTTAGGTGGTTCATACCACAGTGCTCCATGTGGATGAGGAGTCTGGCAGCAAAAGAGAGGGGGATGGGGATCCTTCTCAGCCCTCAAACCTCGTAAAGTTCCATTCTTACTGTTGCTGGTGTTTCGGGAAAGTCTGTCTGCTGCTGGAAGAAGGGTTGGCTTGGTCTGAGCCGCACAGCTGGATTCAGGGGCCGAGGCTGTGCGTAACAGCTCTGGGGCTGCCCTGGGTGGGGGCCCGGCCCAGGCAGCTGCAGGAATCAGAGCCCAGAGCCTGACCCAACAGCAGGAAGAGAGCCAGCTCGGGGAGGCCACGGGCTCCCAGCTCGCTGTTCGGAGGAGAGAACCCAGAACCCAGATGGAGGCCCCACAGCCAGAAATAGCCAGGAACAGAAGCCTCTGGACTCCCAGGCCCATCCCTCTTCACACACAGACTATTTTCTCTCCTCTTCACCAAATACAAGAAAGTGTTAATATATTGAGAGAAGATTCCATTTCAGGGTTGGAAAAAAAAAAATCCTTCTGTATGTGTCCCCTGTATGAATCCCCCTGACAACATTCTGGATAAACAGATCTCCTACCTTTGCTTACATACCTCTGGTGATAGAGAGCTCACTACATAGCAAGGCTGCTCTGTCTGCTCTCAGATACTCCGTTAGCAAGGCTGGTCCGTCTCTGTGGCATCTGGAGCCCGTTCTGTGAAGTCATACAGGGGAGCATGTCTTGAGCACTGGGGGATGCTAAAATGTCTATTCTTTTATAGATCACGAGCGACTCTAGTCCTTTCCCCATATTCTCCTGGGCTGTGGCTCTCCAGCCCTTCCACAGGCAGCCCCAGCAGAAAGACAGTCCCCAGCAGGCAGGTGATCAGAGTGGTGCAAAGGCCACTGTCACCCCAAGTTCCTCTTCTAGATCCTCTAAGTAGAGCCTGGTTCCTCTCATCTGTCACCATTTTTCCTGTTTGCGAGAATACTTAAGAACTCCCATTTCCCTGTAAGCCGTGACTGCCTCTGTGTTTTGTGTATACATAAATAAAAAAAGAACAAATTCTTTTCCAATATTTCAGTAATGTAGTTCCGATTTTATCCGTGACTCACACATTATTTAAGAGACCGTTTAAGAGATTGCATAAAAATACCAATTATCTATTATTAATGTCACGGTGTTCAACAAATAGTTGTGCTTTCTTTATGGTCTGGGGCAGAGAGGATAGACTTGCCATTGTCTTGGAGACCCAGGCTGGGCCCAGGAACGGCATCCGTTTGGTGAAAAGATCCTTGTCGTCTCCCAAAGAAAGCATAGTCCCTTGATTTATGATTTGGTCCTCACTGATCTGCCTTTTTAATTGGGCTAGGAGGAGTTCGAAATTTCTGTCTACTTGTTGGATGATACTCGGGGAAGGGAGGACGAAGGTCTCTACCTACAATTATATTTCTGTTTCTACTTCTTTTTGCATTTCTGGCATGTTCTGTATGGAAATACGTTATGTATTTCCTTGCTATGCGCCTTGGAACAGAAATTAAGTGTTTTATGTTTTAATTATTCATTGTAACTTTTACCTCTGTAAAGTCTCTGTGTTACTCTCTCAATTCTTTTTATGAAACAAAAATTACTTTGTCATATTCTCTTTTTTTCCCTAGAGTTCTGTGTGCCTGATAAGCCAAAATTGCCCTATCATTTTACTCTGTCCATGCCTTTTTTTTTTTCCTCTGTGTTTCTTATGTGGGGGTGGGGGGAAAGGTCTGGTTTTTTTTAATGAATGCCCCTTTTCAGAGGGAGTGTTAACATGGTCAGGGAGTGCTGTAATTCTATTATGTAATTGTTACATTTGTGTAAACCTCCTCAGGGTTACCCCTGCTGTCTACACAGAAACATGGTAGTTTTTCACATTTAGTTTCTATTGTGAATTTTCTCTTCCTTGTGTCCCTTTACAATAGACAAGATAATTTAACCTGAAAAATCTGATTTAGAAAATATGTAAGTTTTCACTCCAGCATTTGTTTCTCTTTACAGCTGTCCAAGTTTTGGGAGGATTTATGTAAATATCTTCCCTTCCCTTGACCCTCTCTCCATGGCTAATCTGCATTTTGAATGTCTTTTTGTGTCTGTCTTCATTCACTCCTCATGTTAGGCACAATTTTTATGATGTGATGGCTGACCTGTGGACAGATGAAGACTTTTTCTTAAATCACCGATCAGGTTCTTGTGGTCATTGCTCATCTCTGAGGTGGCATCTGCTCTCTCATCTGTCACTTCCACTTCTGTCATGCGTTGTCCCCAGGTCCCTCAGATGCTGTCTGTTGAAATGTTCATCCTCGGCCCCGCAACACTGATGTCTCGCCAGCTGAGCACGGGTTAGACCAATGCCATCTTTTAAATTTTATGTGAACCTCACTCCTGCCTCTGCCATGCCTCAAACACTCTCCCAGACTTTTCTTCTTTTAAGAGAAAGTCAAAAGCTGTTCTTATTTTTCTCCTTTTCTCCCACCATTTATTACAACTTAAAAAAATTAAATTGTTTTCATATCATCATTAATTAGAAAAATATACATACGGGGGGGCGAGAGGAGAGAGAGAGAGGGTGATTTAAAAGACTGAATACATTGGGGCATCTGGGTGGCTCAGTGGGTTAAGCGTCTGCCTTTGGCTCAGGTCATGATCTCAGGGTCCTGTGATAGAGCCTCAATTCAGGCTCTCTGCTTGGCGGGGAGCCTGCTTCCCCCCCCCCCCCCCGCCTGCCTCTCTGCCTACTTGTGATCTCTGTCTATCAAATAAATAAATTTAAAAAAAAATCTTTGAAAGAAATTTAAAAAACTGAATAGGGGGCGCCTAGGTGGCTCAGTGGGTTAAGCCTCTGCCTTTGGTGTGGGTCGTGATCCCAGGGTCCTGGGATTGAGACCCGAATCGAGCTCTCTGCTCAGCGGGGAGTCTGTTTCCTCCTCTCTCTCTGCCTGCCTCTCTGCCTACTTGTGATCTCTCTCTGTCAAATAAATAAATAAAATCTTTAAAAAAAAGAAAAAAAGACTGAATAAATACCCACCATCTAACTGTTAGAATGTAACCAATGTTGGACATATGGAAATTTTTTTCTAGGCTTTTTTTTTTTCCCATGTGTGGGTTTTTTTTCTTAAATCATGGTTGAAGTCATTCTGAATGTATCGTTCTGTAGTTTGTGGGTTTTTTACTTAACACAGTCAGCATAAACATAACATAATCAGACAGAAAAATTTTCCATTGAGTAGATTTACCATCGTGAAATTAAGCTCTGGGTGGCATTTAAATGCGTGTGTGTTTTTTTGCTAGCAGAAAAAATGTTCAGGTAAACACATTTTCTGTACAAGACTTTTTTTGCTTTTCCTGATTTACTTAAAGTAAATTTTTAATGACTGGATAAAAGATTAATAAGGTTTCTCTGACTTGTCCTCTAAGTTATCAAATCTAGAAGCTGTGTACACTCACCAGCATATCGATGACTGTTTCATAGAACCCTTACTAGCTTCTTTGTTGAAATGATGAGCAAAAATTTTATCTCTTTGTAAATCCTCTTCTGGGAACTCTCCGTCCTTTGCCTGTTTGTCTCCTGAGGATCTTTGTATCATA